ATTAAGTATGGAAACAAGAGAAGTGCATATGTTATTAAATACGATGAAATGTACGTATAACAAAATTCATCGAATCCACAAATTAAGTGCATACGATGATGACTGACAAACACCACTWCCTTGGGCTACAATATCTCCGAAGTCACACTCGACTACTGTAGTAGAAAAATCAGCTGCGTTCTCTTCTGTAATACCGATACCATGGTCAGCTCTTGCGCATGTGTCACCCCCTCCACCAATCATCATCACTGCTCCATCAGCACTCCAATGACACCAAAACCCGATCCTATTATGACTTTGGAGATTGCTGTTGCATCGTGCTTGAGAGAATCCATCAGTAGAGGAGTATTGGCCACCATACGCTACACTACAGCTTCCAAGACATCTGTTATTCGCCCAGACAACACCGTTGCGGAAGTTCCCATAGCTTGCTATCTTTGAACGAAATGTACGGTATCCCAGACAGYTGGATGTGGTTCKTAGTAGAGCAGTGTGAGTTGAATCGCTAGATCGTGTGATCTTGATCTCGCTTCCATTGATAAACCAGAAGGCGGGGGATATCATGTCTTGATTGACAGACGTACTTGTGGTGCTTCCTTGACCTGTCATGACGTCATACCACCAATAGGCATCGTCTCTCATCCAGTTCTTTGTGTCTCTGTTAGAAAAGCGACCGATCAAAGTCCATCCCCCTCCATTAGTTGTCATATCACAGTAGACTTGGAAGGATCGTTGACTGTTTGGTTTTACTGTGTACACGCCGTTTCGTCCTTGGCCTGAACTGCGAATCTCTGCACAATTTYGCCGGAGAGCTGCTCAGAAAATAAACAAAATAAGCCTCACTTTCAATGTAAAATTATATTTCATTTTGATGCAGAACTTTCAATTGAAACTGTTTAGCTCAAAAGTGTTCGTTTTAATGTTTTAAAATCATAGCTCATTCTCAAGAAACTTTTGTTTACAGACAGGTGTATATAGCTGGTTTGGTTTGTCGGAAATCTGAAATCTGTTACCGAGTAACAATAATCTGCAAAATGTAATATATTCACAGACTTTACATATTTTATCCAGAAAACAGTAAACAAAAAACGCAAAACCATAACCAAAAAATTATCAGACCTGGGCATGTGTTTGTGTTACATCTTTGGGTCACTTCTCCCGGACCAGAACAAAGGTTTCCACCGTAAGCTGGTGGTGGGTTGGTGCAAGTACGGGTTCTCCTCCGCGTCCCTCCACCACAGGTCCTGCTGCACGAATACCAAGCTGAATAGCTACTCCATCCACCATTTACTGCAAAAGAATTGAAATGATTTTAACATTTAAAAKGAGTTCATTTGTCTGAAATCTGAGTCCGAGTAGCACGCTGCAAATTGTAATATATTCACAGTCAAACAACGTAATTTCCTTTTAGATTTAACAAATAAAATACATTTACTGTGTTTGCACACGCTAATGCAAACCGAGATGTGGTTGGGAGAATTCGAGAGCAGATAAGTGCAAATACGAGCCGTAGGCGAGCGTTTGCACCTGCTCGAGAATTCTCCCAACCACATCGAGGTTTGCATTAGCCTGTGCAAACACAGTAAACTATTTTATTTGTTTTATAAAATTATTTTCTTCAAAAACAAAAAATAACAAAACACGATCAAATAAAACAGAAGAATTTAGTTCAAAGTTTTGAATACAAAYTCTCCTTACATGCTTGTGCATTTGCAATAACCAATCCGATTGCGCGAAAGAAGACCCTTAACCAAACAAATTACGAGTTTGATAAACGACTCCAAGCATGAAATTCAAGTTGAAAATTTCTTATTTCAAAGCAAGAAGCCAAACTTTAGCGACTTTCTCCCTTGAGAGAGAGGCTTTTACAAGCAAATCTTGATAAAATAATAATTCCAAAGCTTAACCAATGGCTTTAGTCATTCTAGACCGAAAAGAAAACACTATTTTGAGAGCTAGAACTCGCTAAATTCAAGCTTGATTTCCGTCGGTGTTGTCGAAAGAGTTCGTCGAAATTCTCCGAGTTCAGGCTGGCAAATCTGGATTTTTTCTTTTTTGTTGAAGGCTCTTCTGGTGGTTTTACTATTTCAGATGCTTCCTCAGGAAAGTCAAAGCCTAAGCTTGGAAAATTAGCTATATTCTTCTAATTTTACTGGAGTTATGACTATTTGTGTACAAGTACAACTTCCAAACAAAACTCAAATTTTCCCACGACACGCCAACCGTGTTTGCACAGGGAAATGCAAACACGGCTCTCGGCCAATCACAGCACGCGTACTATCTGAATTATTTTATAATGGAAAATGAAGCATAACCTTTGAGTAAGAAATGTGATTTTTCGTATTTTAGCCAGAAAAAAAGTTTTTATCTAATTAAAAAATATAGTCAAAATGATAACCAAAATTTCTCAGACCTGGGCATGGGTGTGTGTTACATCTTTGGGTCACTTCTGCCGGACCAGAACAAATGTTTCCACCGTGAGCTGGTGGTGGGTTGGTGCAAGTACGGGTTCTCCTCCGTGTCCCTCCACCACAGATCCTGCTGCACGAAGACCAAGCTGAATAGCTACTCCATCCACCATTTACTGCAAAAGAATTAAAATTATTTTAACTTTTAAACTGAATTTTTTTGTCTTCTTATTATTTCTGATATTCACTTGTTTGTTGTAGGGGGG